TAGCCAGGCACTGTGACATGCACCTGTAATTCCAGCTACTCAGGAGATGGGGCAGGAGAATTGCTTGAACTCAGGAGATGGATGCTGCAGTGAGCTAAGATGGCGCTACTGCACTCCAGCATGGGTGACAGAGTCAGACTCTGTCTCAAAAAATAAAAAAATAAAAAATAAAAAAAAGAGAAATTTCACGAACATCAGTAAAACGGCCAAAGAAAAGAAAAGAATGAGAAATTCAAAGCAAAATTTGGCCCACTGGCCCACATGGTATGGAAATAAACCACTTGTAATGTTTAATGGGAAGCTATAGAGAAGTTAATAGGTTTGTGAAAAATGTCCCAAGATTTCAGCTCGAAGTATGATTTCCCACTTCAAGCAACTTTCTACCCTGAGGGTAATAGGTTTTACTCAGACTTTGTCCAAAGAAAGAAACTGCCACTATTTCATATTTTTCTTCCTTTTCCTATTTTCCTAATACAAGTGTTCAGTATTCTTTGGTGGAATTCTTCTCTACTGTTTGATGTCATGACGCTTTGTTGTCATTTGGAGCCACTGGTGCTAACCAGAGTAGTGTATGATAGATACTGGAAGGTGCATTAGTTCATTAGGTTATATCTCATATTCTTATACAATTCACACAATCAGCTACTTAACAGAACTCAGCTTCAAAGTTGTGTGATTTTGTTTGTGGTATTTTTAAGTAATATTTTATTTTTAAATTTGATACATGCTCATTAAGAACACATACCAGCAATTAGTCACACGTTACTATAACTGAAAACAAAAATCATTTGGAATAACATCAGACAAACCTGTTGACCAGAAATATTAAACAGGTGTGGAGTTCTTCTCAGCTACTTAACAACTGGGGTGATAACTTTGGGCCTCCTCACCCTGGTCCACTCTTTTCCCAAACATTCAAACATTTACTTGATCATCTTTGTTTGCCCTGAAACTCTCTGATACAATAATATTATATTGTTTTGTGAGCAGTAATACAATTTGGAAAATGAAAGTGAGAAAGTTGTAATTTTCTTAGAGCAGATTGACATTTCAGCTCTAAGCAGCCGCATTATTTTCTTAGAAACAACACAGGTCCAGAGAAATACTGTAACTTGCCTAAGGTTGCACAGACCTAGAATCCATGATCCCAACCAAATATCTTTGACGTTAGTCTTATTTCCACTGTATAGATTCTTTGTTTCTATTTGCTAGTTCATTAATTTGTCCAGTATGATTCACTAATAACTACAGCATGGTTAATCATAATAATGTTAGTGAATTATTCTAGACACTTATGAAGCACCTACAATGTGAAGCCCCAGTAAAGAACTTTTTAAAAAGTAATCCGGTTTTATTCTTAACAACAACAAAGATGAGAATCGTAGGTATTACCCGCATTTTAAAGAAGAAAAATATTCATACAGATGCATTATTTAAGTTTCTGTAGTTAGAAAATGAAGGACCTGGGATAGGAATCTCACATGTATGCTTCAAGAACTTGAAAACCTGTTTTTTTTTGATACCTACTCATGACATAGTAAACCTTTTTCTCTGTCTTGGATTCATGGTTTGGGTTTCTATATTTAGTGTGTTTTCTCAGAATTTAGCTAGAGGAGCAGACTATAAAAATGATCCCTATTCTTTACTCCTTCCTTTGCTCTCTGTAATGTAAAATTTCAGTTTTTTTCCAACAAGGAGTGAGATCTCTTTGTTGAATGTTTTTTGTTTTGTTTTGTTTTGAAGATGGAGTCTCACTCTTATTGCCAGGCTGGAATGCAGTGGCACCATCTCGGCTCACTACAACCTCTGCCTCCCATGTTCAAGCAACTCTCCTGCCTCAGCCTCTGGAGAAGCTGGGATTAAAGGCGCCCGCCACCACACCTGGCTAATTTTTTGTATTTTTAGTAGAGACGGGGTTTCACCATGTTGGCCAGGTTGGTCTCAAACTCCTGACCTCAGGTGATCCACCTGCCTTGGCGTCTCAAAGTGCTGGGATTATAGGCATGAGCCAGGATGACTGTTGCATTTAGACTAGTTTTGTGAATTGCATGGCCAATATAATGCAACCAAGGCTAGTTAGCACGTAACAAACAAAGAGACAACATACAGAACGGAAAAAAAATATTTGCAAACTATTCAATTGACAAGGGGTTAATGGCCAGAATATATAAGAAATTCAAACAATTCAATAGTTTTAAAAAAAAAGTCAACAAATAATCTAATTTAAAATGCACTAAAGATCTCAATAGACATTTCTCAAAAGAAGACATACAAATGGCCAACATCAATAATCATCTAAAAACTGCTATTCAAAACTACAATGAGATATCATATCACCCCAGTGAAAATGTCTTTTATCAAAAAGACAAAAAATAATGGATTCCAGTAAGGATGCAGAGAAAGGGGAAAGCTTGCACACTGCTGATGGGAATGTAATTTAGTACAGCCACTATGAAAACAGTATAGAGGTTTCTCAAAAAGCTAAAAATAAAACCACCATATGGTCCCAAATAAAGGAGATACATAAGCAAAAGAAAGAAAACTCAGTACATCAAATAAATGTCAGCACTCCCAGGTTTACTGCAGCACTAGTCACAACAGTGAAGATTTGGAATCAACCTAAGTGTTCATCAGTGGATGAATGGATAAAGAAAATGTGGCCTATATAGACAATGGAATAGTATTCAGCCACAAAAAATAAAATCCTGTCGTTTACAACATGGATGAAACTGGAGGACATTATGTTAAGCAAAATAAGCAAGGCAAAGAAAGACAAGTATTTCATGTCTTCATTTATATGTGCAAACTAAAAAATTTATCTCATGAACATAGAGGGTAGAATGATGCTTCCCTCATAAAATCAGAATTACCCCATAATCTTTCTGTTAACCTACTTTTTCAATTTACCACATATTTAGACTTAAAAAATCAATAGGTGTAGACTCTCTTTATGGTATTAATAGTTATGAAGTAATAATTTAAAGGATTTTAGCATAACACATTTACCTAAGTAGTTTTCCTTGATATTTATGTGGTTACCTACTGCTCACTACTTTAAGCATCATGGTAATAAACATCCTTATACAGTTATCTCTTTCTCAGATCATTTCCTTAAAAAAGATGGTGAATGGTTAGTCAAGGGATATATATACTGAAATCAGTGATATATATTACAAGATTTTAATCTGGAAATGAAATATCAATTAATATCTGTATCAACATTGCTCTCTTGAAAAGTTTGTGAGGGCAAAAGGCTGAAAATATGTTGAAGGAAAAAAAATGTGATAAATACCAGCCCAAGAATTAAAGAAGGAAAGAGATCCTGCTTAGGTAGGGCTCATGATAATCTTAGTAATTCACATAGAAACTCAATCTGGTTTAACATGCATATTTTTTAGGTCACCATTGTAACAGGCCTTTCTTGCATTGCTATAAAGAAACTAGAGGACACTGAGTAATTTACACGTAAAGAAGTTTAATTGGCTCACAGTTTTGCAGGGTGTATAGGAAGCATACAGCATCTGCTTCTCGGGAGACTTTAGCAGGCTTCCAAAAATGGCAGAATGCAAATGCGGAGCAGGCTCATCACATGGCAAGAATGGGAGCCAGAGTGAGACACAGCGGTGGGGGTAGAGACACATACTTTTAAACAAACGGATCTCATGAGAACTCATCATCATGAGAACAGCACCAAGGGGATGGTGCTAAACCATTCACGAGAAATCTGCTTCTATTATCCAACCACCTCCCACCAGGCTCCATCTCCAACACTGGGATTTACAACACAACATAAGTTTTGAACAGAGACAAAAATGTGAACTATATCAACCACATAGACTAGGTCTGTTTTCTTGTATACATCGAATATAGTATAATGATAATTTCCCATTCATCCATATTAGAAATTGTCAAATGACCATCTTCAACCTTTGCATATTTTTCTATTGAATTATCTTAACTATTCATTATTATTTGTAAAAGTGCTTTATATATTAAAGATATCCCCTATTGTCACATATATTGTCAGAGAGATTACAACATATACAATTTTAACAATACCTCAAAGCCAATTTTAATTGTATATGTATTCTATCTTCTTGTATCCTCTGCATTTATTACAGCTATTACTGTATATTCTAAATTGCTTGGGTTTTATCATTTTTGATCAAATACTAATTGTGTATAGGACACGGAGGCCAAAGTAGTTGAAGCTGACTATGATTTTCAAAGGTTTTTGAGTAAATTCCTTAGACAAACACGCCAAGACAATGTTGTATCTCTGGGAAAAACAATTATGGCTAAGAACAATTAAGCCCACTGGGAGAAAGATAGCTTATTGCATAAGCTTTATTCTCCAGTGGGTCAGTGTTATCTTGGCGTACAAAGGATGACACATCATTAATGAAAACCAGGAGAGAAAATGTTTTTAAGGCTATGAAGTTCCCAAAAGTCAGAGGTCAAACTAAAATGTGTCAGAAGCTGTCAAAACCATGTTATTTCCATGATCATAAACGTGTTTATGAACAGCAAGGCTAATCACATTGAAAAATCACAAGAACAAATTCAAAGTTTTTAACCTAAAAGGACTCTGTAACTTTTTAAAAGAAACCCTTCTTTAAAAAGAAACCTGCATGTTGAATTCTGTCACTCTTCTCATTTAAGAAGCATTAAGTTTTCTAAAAAAACATGATGATGAGGAGTAGTTCTGTTATCTGTGGCAAGTTTATGTATAAACGTTGTATACCAGCAAATCTAAATACATCTGCTATTAAAAGAACAAGTGTGCCCCCTTCTGAATAAATGAAATATTGAGTCCTATATTTACACTTTAAATTACCAAATCCCTTCTTTCTGGACCAAACTGAATAAATGAATTTGGGCAAATACTAATGGAGAATTTCAAGAGCACTGTTTTCTAGAAACATTTATGATTGGCAAAATTCTAAAAGAATATTTAGATGAAATCTGCTATGTCTTTTCATATGTGCTTGTTTCCACAGCTGGAATCCTCTAAAATAAGTCACCAAGAAAAACATTCTGATCTATTTCTACACAAAGAATGAAAAGCCAGGAAGTTACATAACCCAAAGTAGAGTGGAAAGAGTTGGGTAGAGAGTTGGCAACTGTTTTGGAAACTGAAATAGTGTTAAAGATGTCAGGAAAATGTGAAGTGACATTCCACTAAGACAGTTCAAAGATGTTTTGAAAGACAGTAGCTATGTAAGCTACGTACCTGTGTTGACTTAAGTTTGACTTTGTTCACTTAGTTCTACAGCTGAAACAAGTCCCAAAAGGATTAAGTACGTTTTGGGAAATTACTTAATGACTAAGCCATATTTTTCTACCTTCAGTCAAGTGCTCTACCTACAAGAAAAAATGGTGATCCAAATGAGTTTTCTGGTATATTAATATATGTTTAATAGATTACATCTATAAAACTATTTCAATCCAGATTCTTCTCTTTTTCTCCTTTTGTAAATTCAGAGCCAAATCAACTTTTGACCAAAATATGGTACCATGTTTGATATACTTATCTTGGGCAGTGTGACACTTGACTATTGTAAAGTATCATGGAAATAAAATGTGGATGATGATGAGAAAGATGACAATGACAATAGCAATTTTTATGAAAATGAAAATCTACTTTGTCATAACATTATTTAAGGATGACAGTTAAATGATAGCTTAAATCGTAGTTAAATGATATCCTAAGTCATCTGATAAACAGGAATTAGTTTCTAACCAAGTTCTCCAATTTATAATCAGAGAATATTGTGCTTTGTCTTATATTTGCTGGTATGGTGGCAAAAATAATTTGTCTCATTTTAAACACAAAGGTTGACCGATTAAACCTATAGCTACTTTGCTAGTTTTACTGTGATTGATAGCTAAGTCAGTTACCTTCCTTCTAAAGTTCTGTAAATTTTAATATATTAGAAAACTAAATATTTATACAAATTTCATCAGTATCTGCCTTTCTTTACTGATGTATACATTAGAAACAAATTTCATCAGTCTTTGTTTTCTAATTCACATAGAAACCCAATCTGATTTAACATGCATTTTTTTTTTTTTAGATTACCATTGGATGAGGCCTTCTTTGCATTGCTATAAAGAAACTACAAGACACTGAGTGATTTATAAGTAAAGAAGTGAATCATTTATAATTCATTTATAATTGGCTCACAGTTTTGCAGGGTGTAAAGGGAGCATAGCAGCATCTGCTTCTGGGGAGACTTTAGGAGGCTTCCAATCATGGCAGAATGGAAAGGGGGAGCAGGCTCATCACATGGTGAGAATGGGAGCCAGAGTGAGAAAGAATGGCGGGGCCAGAGCCACGCACTTTTAAACAAACAGATCCCATGAGAACTCATCATCATGAGAACAGCACCAAGGGGATGGTGCTAAACCATTCACGAGAAATCTGACTCTATGATCCAACCACCTCCCACCAGGCTTCATCCCCAATATTGGGATTTACAATACAACATGAGTTTTGAGCAGGGACAAAAACATGAACTCTATCAACCATATAGACTAGGTCTGTTTTCCTGTATACACTGAATGTAGCATAATGATAATTTCCCATTCATCCATATGGGAAATTGTCAAATAATCATCTTCTACCTTTACATATTTTTCTACTGAATTATCTAAAATATTGATAAAAACAAAAGCAAATATTGATGAAATTTGTATAAATATTTAGGATTTTCCTCTCTTCAGCAAACTCTTTTACTTCGGGGCCATTTGACTTAGGTCAGATCTAGTTTTCCACATGGTATTTAAAATTCCTATCTTTTAAGAATGAAGTAAATTTTTATTTTCGATGTATTTCCAGAAAGCACTAACTTCTGACGTTATCAGAACTTTGGATGAAATAAACAAGTTTTTAACGAAGTAAATACAGTCTATCACCAGTTTAAATTCTTTTCCAATACTATTATTTCATGATTCTACAAAGATTCTACACAGAATCTTTCCAACACTATTACTCAATAAATTCTCCAGAATACTGCATTAATCTACTTAAGCATTGAATCTTTAAATTCCTGTTCTCGATGGATAAAACTGACTGATAAAAGTACATTTATAAATGTCAGTTGCCATATGGTTTACACTTTTGCTAATGATCAATCATAAGATTAAATCAATCATTGGACAAATACCATTATAAAACTGTGAAATGTTTATGCCAACTCTCTTCTTTTCTCCCCAAGTAACATCACTAACTTGTGCCAATATTTACAAACATTTAACCCGTACTTCCTTTCCTGCTGTAAGATTCAAATTCACCAATTGCAGCTAGAGTGGCCACCTATTATTTGGCCAATGTATTCATTTTAAAAGAACATTTATTGAATCAACATATATAAAATATCTTTTGGGTTTAATTAATAGGCCTCATATATTCGTTGCCAAAAATATGTTCTCAACTAAAACATACCCTATCATCATCAATTCACAGAGTTGTTGCTGATTATTCCTAATTGTGCAACGAACCATCTTGTAGAATAAACAACCTCCATAGTTCTTATTTTGAAAAACTTTAAAACATTCAGACTAGTAATTACATTGAATGATAGCTTAATTTAAATTGTAAAAGACCTCTAATGGATTATTTCATTTACACTGTGTGATATGTTTCACATAGAAAGAAGTTATACATACTCATGAATCAATATGTACAATGAAGGATTAAATTCAAAACAAATGTATTTTATTCTATTTTATTCTACTTTTCAAAAAATTATAGAAATTGAGCCCAGCCTTCCTACTGCCACTTCTTGCAACTTACACACTTGATATGTATACCATCGCTTTCCTTGGCCCTTGTAAGACATCATGTGTTTTTCACCTAATAATGATGTAAATATAAACACGCTTAATATTTACATTTCATCAAAAGATTTTGTTCATGTATTTATTTTGTGAATTGTTAATGTATTATCAGTACGGCATCCAATTGTTTTTCTTAATTGTGAATTACTTTGCATTTGTGAATTTGTTAACTGAAATCACAAACTATCTTTGTTGCCTGGGCTTAAAGAAAAGGCTGGAGATGCAGACCGGACTGATCACCATATTCCATTCCCTGGACTGTAGAGCTTGGTTCAAGAATGGACACCAACTAAAACTAGTCCAGTCTCATTAGAGTATTGCAAATTAAAACAACGATGAGATACCACTACACACTTATTAGAATTGTACAATCCCAAACACTGACAAGGACAAATGCTGGCCAGGCTGTGGAGTAACAGCAACTCATTCATTTAGATAGAAATGAAAAAAGGTATGGCCATTTTTGGAGACAGTCTTACAGATTCTTACGAAGCTAATCATAGTGTTACCATATGATCCAGCAATTACTCTTGTTGGTACTTCTCCAAGTGCTTTGAAACTTATGTCCACACAAACCTACACACAAGCATTTCCAGTGACTTTATTCAAAATTGCCCAAACTTGGAAACATTCAGGTTATCCTTTGATAGGTGAATGATAAACAAACTGTGGTATATCCATGCAACAGAATAATACCCAGTGATAAAAACAAGTGAGCAAGCTCTAAAGCCACACAGAAAGGAAACTTAAGTGCATATTGCTAAGTAAAAGAAGCCAGTCTGTGAAGATTACACATGGTATGATTCCAACTATATGACATTCAGGGAAAAGGAAAACTTGAGAGACAGCAAAAATATCACTAGTGGCCAGGAGTTTGACAGGATGGAGGGAAACCTGAATAGGTGGAGCACAGAAATTTTAGAACAGTATTCTGTACGATTCTGTAATGGCGAGTAAATGACATTACATATTTTTCAAAACACATACAACTCTACAACACAGAAGTTGAACTCTAATATAAGCTGTGGATTTTAGTTTATAATGCTATATCAATACTGGTTCATCAGTTGTAATAAATGTACCACATCAATACAAGATGTTAATAGGGAAAACTGTGTATGGAGTGTTTGGAACTGTCAGTATTCACAGCTCAATTTTTTGATAAGCCTAAAAGGGCTCTAAAAAATAAAGTCTATTAATTAAAAAACAACTGGTCAAATGAATCACAGTTCCAAAAGCTCTACTGGTGTTACCTGGAAAGAAAATCACAGGAAAGGCTTCTTAGGGATTACGGATTACCATATGAAGAAAGCCTACCCATAAATAAAGCCAATATTATATAAATTGAGGTGAATAACAGGAAAAGAGTGAGAAAGAGAGATGGACTCTTGCATCTTCTTTTTCCTCTGAAGGCAAGCTGTGCTTGAATTTGGGGCTACCTCTAAGCCTTTTGGGCTACAGCTACCTCTAAGCCAATGGAAATCTTTTAGGTCAGAATGAGTTGAACTCCTAAATAATCTAGTTCTATATGTACAAATAAATATTGTAATGCTAATTTTATTTTTAAAAATTATTTAATTTCTAAGTTGATGGAGATGCAGTGCTAGATTTAATTATCAGAAACACAGCTCATTTTTAGAGTTGAGAAGGGAACATTTCCAAATTATGTTGCTAATATATCCCCAGAAATTTGGTTAAAGACAATGAAACAGATTTTATTTAAGTTGCACTGGGTATGGAAGAGGTCTAGACAGGCAATGGAATTCACACAGCAGCTGCTGTGGAGCAAGTGAAGTCAACAGGTAGGGGCTGACAATGAGCAGGAAAGGCTCCCAAAGTGAACAACGATAGCTTCTCTGTTTTATTTACTGGGCATCTCTGTAAGTATATCTTTGAACAAAGGAATATTCAGTCAATACAAAGTACGGAAGACACTATATTTGAACATGGGTAACTACCAAGTTCAGGTCTTGCTCGTTCTAGACCTCCAAGAGAACCATGGAGCAGGAACTGAAACACATAAACAATAACTTGGAAATTGAATTTAGCAGGCATTTATTATTACAACAGATCGATTGGCTGTGTCAGGTTAACCAGCCAACTTTCTCAGAAGAAACAATAAGCCTCTGAAGGGGTAGAAAGAGCTTTGCAGAATTGGGAGATCCATTCTGATGTCTTAATACAGCAGAAAAAGGGAGATGATGTCTACACAGAAGTGGGATGAGAGCATGGACAGAGTGACACTGA